TGAGCGATTTGATCAACAGTCAACACTCCATGTCATTCTATTGTGCCTGTTCACATTTGAGGAGTCATGTGCTGTTGCTCAATGAGCAAAAAAGTTTAGGAGCTTCTCTCTGCGGAATGATTACACGTTTTTGGGCCCAAAAGACTTCAATGGGAACACCTAAAAAAACACCTGAAGAATGTGCATAATGCACATTTTTTTTTTGCACAAAACAAAAGCCCTCAAGATCAAAAATGAGCAAAGATGCCAACGCTGAAGTGTGAATGCGGGCTAATAGGTAAAGGATATACGCTGGCTGTCCAAACAAAAAGTCACGCACTCTAATATTTACTTAGACTGCCTTTAGCTTTGATTACACCATGCATTTGCCATGGCATCATTTCCATAAGCTTATGCAATGTCACATTTATTTATGGCCAGAGTTGCATTCATTTTTCACCAAGATCTTGTAGTGATGATGGGAGAGACCGAGCATCCCAAAGATTTTCAATGGGATTAAAGTGACATTAAACCCTCATTAAACCCTCAAACAATACTGTAATGTGTGCCTTACTGTAATCCATGGTTGTTTCCCTTCTCTTTGCTGCTCTTCCTTTTAAATACGTATCTGTTCTCATGCTGGGCAGAACTTCTGTTTTGCAGCAGACTGCCTTGTCTATGGAAAGGATACATGGTGTCTGTGTGAAGGTTCACAACCTGAGCCAGCACTACAGGAAGAGGCACTCAGCTGCAAAATAAGGATTTAAAAGAAAGAGCAGCAAAAGAGAAGGGAAACTACCATGGATTACAGTAAGGCACACATTACAGTATTGCTTTATGTTAAAAAATCTGAGGGTTTAATGTCACTTTAAGGTCTGGACTCTGTGGTGGCCAATCCATGTGTGAAAAATGATGTCTCATGCTCCCTGAACCACTCTTTCACTCGCCCAAATGCTCCGATGTCTAGCACGAGTACTTCCTGTATCAGGAAGCCGGGCAGCGCATCATTACACGCTGCCCGGTTTCCTGATTGGCCGGGAAGCGGCTCAATGCTCTCTCGTCATCCGTGATGATAGAGCATGGAGCTGACTTCCCGGCCAATCAGGAAGCAGGGCAGCATGTAATGGCGCGCTGCCCGGCTTCCTGATTGGTTGGAAAGCTGGCCAATCAGGAAGCCGGGCGCTGTGTAATGACGCAGTGCCCGGCATTCTGATTGGCCGGGAAGCTGGCTTCATGCTCCCTCATCATCTCATGACGGGGGAGCATGGAGCCGGCGAGTCTTTACACGCCACCTGGCTTCCTGAATGGGACTTCCGTTACTCGGTAATTGGTACCGGCGAGTACCGAAAATAAATTATCGGTACTCGAATTCGGTACCAAAATACCGGCATCGGTGCATCCCTAAAAACCACTATATGTTCCCTTTCAGGACATCAGTAACAATTTGACATGAAACTGGGTACCACACACAAAATCTTTGTCCACTCTCTTCCTTTTGAGAAGGTGTTTATCGCTTCTGGTGTCATTTAAAAATATTAATTATAAAAGTTCTCCGTACAAAATCAAACCATACTCAAAGCGTTCCTGTTCTAACAGATGCTTTGAGATGTGCTCTCCTACCGATAAATGGATTGCACATCTAAGTGTCCAAAAAATATGTGGGATAACCCCATCTGTGCATGTTTCCACTATGATCCTACGTGAGATTCTGCAGATGAGAACATATTAAATAAAAATCTGACTTTCCATAATTAAACACTGTGTACATTCCACGTCAGGCTGTCCATAGGAAAAGACATTTTTGTTTCTCTTAATATACAGTGTTACGTTTTAGTTCCCATTCTAGTTAGCCTATGTACAAATGTAAACTATACAAGATCTGTTTAAATACATATGTATAAGAATCTAAGTATTTCCTACTAGGCCATGCATGAGGTATGATGACTTAATTGTACAGTAACTTCAGTCAGATGAATGGCTCTGTAACCGCTCTCCGATCTCAGTGAAAGTAAGTCTCCAGGAACTTTTTTAGTCTGGTGGGATAGTCTGTCATTACACCAGTGGCACCCAAATCAAAGGCTCTTTTATATTCTTCTTCATTGTTCAATACCCAGATGTACACCTAAAAAAAAGACCATGCTCCTGTGAGTTTTAATTCAAAATACATTTTGGCTGTTTTACACTAATATTACATATTAAAGGCGTTTCAAGCTTGAAGCTCCAAGATGAAAATATTCATGTTTCTTAAGAATCTATCATGCAGTTGTAGAGGAGCTCCCAATTTCTCTTGTAAACAATACAGGGATCCCCTGCTTGTCTGAGCCTCACCACAGTCATTTGAGTCACATGTGATTCCCAAACCTTACAGGAATGGGGGTGGTGGGGTTGATTGCTAAAGCATGAAAAGTAGGGCTGTTACTGATTAAAATTTTCGTGTTCGATTAATCGAAATTTTTAAAAATCGATTTATCGATTAATTTCGATTATAACGCACATACAGATCCAACTACATTGGCCTATACACATACCGCACAGCAATGAAGTAATAAAATGAACTAGGATCACACTAATCCAGCACGTTATTCATCTCACGTGCCCCACTCAATATGGGCGCTGCTTGAGTGGGGCAACTCAGAATAATAACGTGTTAGATTAGTGTGATCCTAGTTCCTTTTATTACTTCATTGCTGTGCTGTATGTGTATAGGCCAATGCCTTGGCTGGCGCTCATGCAGAAAGTTTCAAAAAATATTTAATCGATCGAAAAGATTAACGATTAATCGAGAAATGAATCGTTAATTTGCACAGCCCTAATGAAAAGTCAACTACAAGCTAAGGCTAAAAAAACTCACTTTCACAAAGTGGCTGTATTTTTACATTTTTACCACCAGGTGGCAGTGCAGCTGAAACTTAAAGAAAACCTGTGTACTTTGGCTGCTGTAGGCAAAGTGACGTGTTCATATTACACAGAGTAATCATTTACTAATTGCCTCCTCTGTGCTCTTCTGCTGTCATATTACCCTGCCAGAGCCCACAAATATCCCTGAGTATGGTACTGATCGATTGAACTGGGGTTAGCAATGGGCTTCTTGGGCGGGGAGTACGGAGTGCGGAGTACTGTATTTGGAAAGCAAGAACATTGTCATATGTTACCCAATACGCAGGCATATGGGGCAATTTTTTTTACTGGAATCCAGAGTCCAAATAGTGGTAATGGGGCAATGGAAAGACAAGTATAAGAAGCTTAACTCTGCCTGCTATTAAAGGAACCTGTTGCTTTGCCTACTTTGGGGGAAATAGTGGTTCACTTTAAGCATGTTATAAATAATTGGCATTTATATTTAGCATTCAACATTAAAAGGGATTTGTATTCTACCATGAAATGTTCAGATTCCTGCTTCACCCCC